TGGCGGTAATATACTTTGAGAAAAAGAAAATGTTTTATCGACGGTGAAGGAATTCAACACCACTTACGCAAGGTTGCTCACCAGAAACGGTGCGAAAGTATTGATAAACAAATTAAAACCTATTGGAATGGTGCAGAATCTGAAAGGCAAGCGAAATTCACGAGCAAAGTCATAAGAACCTGCTATCTTCAAGATGTAATGTTCATGGCACACACCTGAATGTGTGGCAAACGGTTTTCATGGATATTTACATTCTACATGTAAACGGGAATGTGACAAACTTAACTCGTTGGGCCGCTAAAATCCCCAGACGATTTATTGGCTCGAAATAAGTTCACTGTCCCAAGTTGTTGTATGGGCTGGTATCAATTGTGTCGAGATTGTTGGCCCTTACATCTTCAAAGGAACGGTGGCAATTAAGAATAATGTCACTTATTGCAGTGTCTAAGGAATCTCATAGCTGGAAACGTCACAAGATAATTTAATACCTGCCATCCGACTTATATGAACTGAAGCTGGTACTACAGTTTGGTTTGGGTGCACCGCCACACAATGCTCCAAAGTGAGACGTTTTCTTGATTCGGAATTTAACTGGAGATGAAGCGACTGATGTGGGTGAATGCTTCTAGCGGCATCACAATTTCGCGGTGAGTTCGTGGTTGGCTATTTCGTCTCCTCAAAATAATGTTCACTTCCACTGAAGGAATCACGACTAGTTTGAATTACCTTAAGGTGTTGAATACAATATAGTAAACTATTCCAGAACAGAGATCAACGCTTGTATGCTAGATCGACACTAATGTTCAGACCTCCGGTTGCACTAACTTCATAATTACATTTGAGGTTTCGTGGGATTTGTTATACCGTTTGATATTATCCCCATTGAAAGCTGCTGGCATCATAGCAAACAAAAACTGTCACTAACTTGAAAATTAAGAAACCTAGCGGAACTATCATAAATGTTTTCGAGCCACTGGAACAGTTTACTTACGGTTTTCAGTCAAGAGTTGTAGACCGTTCACCATGCGATCTGTATGATTCCATTGTTGACTAAGGTGCCTCAACTAAATACCAACAAGTTTTCTTTCCAAATCTGTGTTAAGCGCATCCTATCTGGGTACGTTTAATTTAGCTTTTATGATTTTAGGCACCATTCTAAACACATCCAGATTTGTGGGTAAGTTCCATTTTTTGAAATTAATTTCAGTTAACTTAAGATTACCCTTGATGACGGCGAAGTCCCGGTTTCACTGAACAATAACGATCGTTTTCGGTAACGGAAACAATATTATCTATGACGTTACAGAACACTTGACGTTGTATCAAAGGTGGTTTGCTCTTTGAGTATCATTTCCTAGTTTGAAATATATATTTTACTATTTTATATATGCAACGAGCTACTTTTCAATTATACTCAAAATAATTTGATCATTTATATTTATTCTTCCCTGGTTCACTTTTCGTTAGATGATCCCTCTCAAGAGGGCAAACATCCTCAGGATGAATCAAATTTGCTTCGCTCTATGAGATTGTTTGAGTTCCTTCTAGAGGTATGCGGTAGGCGGAGGTTTCAAAAATGAAAGAGCCACCATCTACCTACAAAACGGCCCTTGTAAAATAGTCAGGGTCCATCACCATTTAAATAAGACAAATAGAGTTTCTTTCTTTGAAGTCCTTACTTTTAAAATTTTGTCACATGATGCTTTGACTGATATATAGCACACTTTTTTGCTGTGGTTTCTCTTCCAGGATAAATTTTCAGACATCGTTTTGTAGCAGATTTTTGCACAGCTTTTGCAGGTTGAACTGTATTTCGCCATTTTTTTCAGATCGTCGTCACTATTGTATACATCATAGTTCCGACCAATCAGAGAAACCGAAAATGACTAAAATATTACATACACCTGTGCTGCATATTATTACAATTTCAGTTCATCGGAGATCAACGCTGACGGTTTATCCTTAAGTATTATGCTGTTTGGGTGGTCATTGTACATCGGCATGTGACTTAATACCGTTGCTTTTAACTCATTGGAAAGCAACTTATTCACAATCACTTGAATTTAAATTTTGCTCGTATAAATCAATGAGGCGCTCACTTTCAAACGCATTCAGTCGGCTTGTACTGTAAATCTTTACTTGAACATAAGCTGGGCTGAGTTCAAAAATGAGCCTATTAGTAAAACGGATGAATGCGTTTACAGTCATGTGCGAAGTAATAATGTAGACAAAAATTTGTGCAGTATCTGTGCAAATCTTCCCTTCACAACCGGGTTCAAGATGAGATCAATCCAATTAGTCCATTGTGGTAATGTCTGCCTCTGCTTATCAGTGTGATGTATCGGCATGAATACAAAATATTGAAAATGAGCTTTATCGACATTCTATGTTTTCTTTGAAGGGATGAGTGCCTATTAACATCTTATGCCTGAGTTTGCTAATCATTAAATATTTCTTTATTACCAAGAGTCAGAACCAAATGACTGACTGAGGGTGGCTTTCCAGTTTCATTGCTTCGGTTTGAGCTTTAAAACAAATTTAACGAGTCAAACTGATAGCTCTTTTATCTGTGAAATTGAACGGTTAAGGGCATTTATGAGACGTTCACCGCAGGTGTCGATGATGATCATAGATGACCGACTGCGAAAAATTGTATACAAACCAAGTGCAGTGTTATTGAATGTCTACCGAGTGTCAACCAAGGCCCATGACTTTCTGTAATGCATTTGTAAGACCTACTTGGTCGTGTGTAAAAGTGAAACCAATGTCGACAAGAATCGGGGTTTGGAGGGGGGTGTTACGAATAACCTCAGTGCATGGCAAAGTGGCTTCTTCCGTCCACATGCATGTATACCACCCCATGGTTGTGCTTTCTTTGTTTTCGTTCTTGGGGATTTCCGTGGTAAAATTAGTGCAGACGTTTGGCGGGGGCGATCACAGTTAGAAAATACAGTCCCTGGAAGGAACAGTCTACTTCTTCATTGATGGAAACCAAGTAATTTAATTACATGCGATTATTCTTTTGTTGAGCGCCTAATTATCAGTATAAACTTGAAGAAACAATACTCTTAGGTTAGGTTGTCTGCTTCATGTCAAGGACGATTTCGTGTATCGAACATGTGGCACAACATGACAGAAAATAACAATCTGTTTGGCTTAGCAGGATATCAGTTAAACTGATACTGCCCGCCAGCGTGCAAGCAATGTAGTGCTTATGCACATGCGAATGCGGAGGATCTTTCATAGACAGCAGAGACAAATAGCAGCAGTAAGCTGTTCAGGGACCACCTAGGATTTTGTGAGACGTATTTTCTTATTCATATGTGAAACCGATTCACCATCAAGTTATATAGGTTGTTATTTTTCGCTCTATTGTACAGTTTGAGCTGCAGCGAATTTCGCCTTGGCGTTCACCAAGCATGCAACCTAGTTTTATCTTGCTATCATCTCTTATTCTGTATTTGCTTCTTATTTCAGTATTACTAATAATCAAAAGTAGTTGATAGACATTGTAAACTCAGCCAGGTGCAGTGACAAACAATGTAGGACTCAGATGAAGTCTACTTGACCCCATCAAATTATTTCTTGAACTCAATGTTTTCCCATCAACCTTCATGCTGAAAACGGTGCGTTTACGATAATTTTTCCGAAAAGTACGTTCCCCGATTATTGGGATAAACCAATGATTTTTGATAATTCATTACTGGTTAATGATAAATCGGATCTGCATCCGAGTGCTGAGGAAACTTACATATATATATAATAATTTGTTTTATACAAGGGAAAATCGGACGGAACGCTGGGTTTGTATGTGGTCAATGAAAATCCTTTTTCCTGCTGTGGGAAATGTTGGATCGGACCGAATTACGACTTCCTTTAATTTCAAGTTCAATTCATTGGATCGAACACAAAGTGAAATGCTAATACCTGATTATGCGCGAAACAATCCATAGGTACAGTCATTGTACCATTCAACCAAATCGTGTATCGCTTGGGGATTCGTTCAGATTACCTTTTTCTAGCGCGTCCAAGAATGAAAAACCGAATTCAAATCAAATGTATATTTTATTACACTCACCAGGGTGCATTTTCAGCAATCGTGCAATCATTTAGCACCAGTGATTTTAAGAACCACAAAAAGTTCTTGTATATTTTGTTAAAACCAGATCCAGTGAAAGCCAAAATCGCTCACGTTCAAAGATAAAAAGCAGTCACCAGAAACTGTAACCCATTTTGCTCTCCTATTAGACCGTTAGTTGTTTCTTTATTCATTTTTCTCCATGTATTTATAAAATTGGGTTAATATCCATAAAGCACGCACGGTAGTGATAATGGGACAACAGCACGAGCCGATCAGAATGGATACAGTCACCTTTACTAATTGAGTCAAGCACACACGGCCTCTGGAACGCATATGAAATGAACGGTTCGTTGTGTTGTAATCCTTCTCTCCAGGAAAAGAATGATTGAATCCATGCGCATGAACGGCATTATGCTCATGTGAGCAATGATACTGCAGTGTCAACAAAGATGAGTTCGAAACTACCGACACTATGTAACTGGCGCTTCACATAAGTGGCTATTACTAGAAGAAAAAATAAACATCAACGCTTAGTCTGCGCAGTAGATTGTAGCATTAGTTTATCGCATCCAAACAAGCAAAGGTAACAACTGATGGAGATAAGGAGGCACACACAAGAAAACAGAAATATGGACAAAGCTTTTACACAATAAAGTAATTGTTTTAGTTATTTGTTTACCCTGGGGGGCAAAATATTCAAAGTTCAATAAACAGAAATTGCATCATCATGAATTTTTTTCACGGACCAGGAGACAAATTCACGGGAAACTAGATGATTCACTCTTTGAATGTAAACGTACAAGAGGCAGCTTCAACAAAACTGAAATTTGTATGCCTTCAAAATGAACAGTGGGTAAATCTGAGTTGATGAGAGAAGTTTTTCCAGTTTGAGTGTAAATGATATAAGATAAATCGACCACTATTCCTTCTTGCGCAAAATCACGATTGCCACAGCCAGAATGAAGAGGATAACCTGTAAAACAGTGAAATTCGTATCAGTTTTGAATCACGTGGAAATTAGGTTTTTCACCACGAACGCACATACTCACTTCTCCCTGCTAATACATACCTCAAGCAAAAGTGGCCCGATGGACACGTAAGCAGCAAAGTCGCAGATTTTCACCAATTCTTTCTCAACCGTTTCACGACAACCAATATTGTAGTGACTGTTTTCCTCCGTAAACACGTAGGGACACATGAGCGGAACACTGGTAACAGGTTTTCCACCCCCTTGTATATAAGAAGCTAGTAATTTCTTTGACTCCTTAGAATTACAGCACGGTAATGGATATGAAATATCTGAAATTTAAACAGAAGATGAAATTATGCATATAGCAGCGTTTTTGATGAATGAGCGTCGGTCCACAAATTCGATATGCAAGTCGAACAGAGGTTAGCAAGATTTCGGGCGGATGGGGGGAATCTTCACGCCCAGACACGCATGACACATAAGCGTTCTAAGGATATTGCGAGTGTATTCATCAGAATTTTCTGGAGTTCTATAATCATTACACTGATAGAGCAACTGTCTCCATGGTATAGTGACTTGGAGTGACAAACAGGTCTGCACCATTAGATAAAAAAAGCAAAAATTTAGGATATGGAATACTTTTGAACAATTAATTCCAAAGTCCAACCAATAAAATGCAGAGAATTAGCAGTGCATCATTGGTTCTACAATGTGACCTTGCTGCATTATTTCTTTACTGTAATAAAAATTAATAAAGCTCCTTGAATGATTTAAAGTCAACTGAAATGCAGACCGATTTTAGACTTGTTCATATACTTCTGGACCTGCTGTTTGCAAGTAAGGCTGACAAACTTGGGCTGGCTGAATATTTCAATTTTATGGGAAACAGTTGTCATCAGAAACAGATGATTTCGTTAGCCTCTTCCTCAGTGATATAATCCAATTATCAATGAGTTTCAGTGCCTCCAAATGCACACGTTTTTTACTGTCATGAGGAGGGTTTCATATACGGTGAATTTTTGAATAACCTTTGTATTACAACTGCCCCGAATCCTCCTAACTCATCAAAGATAGGATGTTTACTGTGAATTGCAGTAATATTTTCAATGCGATGGAAATGTTTGTGATAACTAACGAAGAGCACTGGACAGCTGTTTCTTCCTGTCTTGAACTCGTCAACGATGAGTACTTTCGGTGTCCTGTCAGGACTCGCAATTTAATGCACTTACCTCATGGGGAATTAACGATCTCCCAAGAGTGAAACCAACAGCCAAGAAAATCAAGAGTACCTGATGCCTCTAAACCATCGAATGGGCTTATCCAACCTTGATACTCTATGATGCAATAAAATGTGACTATTTTCTACCATAATTATCATTACTTATGGTCGCACGTTTGATTCTAGGAGGCTGCATTTTAAAACTCTTCCTGCAGTTAAAGGTGAATTATGATTTTTATAAATCGTTTGTCACTGCTTGTTTGGAACGGACAAATTAGTTTTTGTCTGTTTGTTAAGTGAACGGATGGAAATAAAACATCGCCATGGCACAAACATACAGTAGCTCCAATTAACCGGTAATTAAGTATTTTTAGGCATTGCCTAGGTGATTCTACACACCAATGAATGAATTGATACTTATAAAATGGGATATGAATTCAATTACTACATGCATTTTCCCTGAGTTTATCAAAAGGTTGGGTGTCTTTTTATAATTAAAATGAAATATAACAGTATAATATATAAAAATGTTCAAATGCATACTGTATACAGCAAGGGTAGTTCTGTCTGGAATATGCACCTCAAGTGAGACCTTGTTCTGATTGCTACCACCGTGTTTGAAATGTATGATGAATTTAGTAACAATAAAATAATTAGGGATGATAGATTGCTTGTTAATCTTCTGAGACAGTAACGCCGACCAACCATAACAACTCAAATTATCGGGTTGCCGATTTTTAGTGAAGCGTTTGTTTCACGCATTCCAACAACTGAGAAATAACTGCCTAACGATAGTTGGAGTTTCAACAACAGCATTGATTCTGTGCGTCTATCTCTTCAGTTCCGTGAGAGTTTCCATGGTAGTTACTTTTTTGGAGGACCATTTTTCCATTCCAAAGATTCCACCCACATTCATTTCCTCATTTATTCTTTTCATGATATCCCCACTTTTCTTGTAATTACGACCTTACTGCTCCTACCTTCGATCTTGTTTTCATCTCGGCTTGACAATGTTTAACAATAGTCGCGTTTCGCTTATTTACTCACAAAGACACCAACGTTTTGACTTTACACTCGATTCATTCATTTCAGTTCTCTTCGTAGTTTACTAATAGTAAGTTTCTGGCGTCTTTCTTTTGAAACGATCATCCCTCTTCTGTACAGGTTTATATCCCCCTCCGAAATTCACTGATAGCTTTTAACAAAAGACATTAACATATCTAAAACCCAAACGAATTCATCAAACAGTTTGACTCAGATGGCTCAGTCACGTCTTAATTAGTGTTTTTCTTAAATAATGCAACTTTTCGCCGCTATTGGTATCTATTCCTTAGGTATGGTTGATTTATAAACCCATGATAAACGATCATCGTATTACTCCTTCAATAATAGCGGTTACTCCTCCAACCTCTATAATTGCAAAAGTATTGCACTCAGAGGTAGCTGACTGATGTAGCCACCAACTGGAACAATGAACGCAGCCCAGCCATTGCCATCATGACTTAAGCTTCCATTAATCTATCAATGGTCATAGTAACACTGAACAAGCAAAATGAAACCTATAGTGTCACTGAAAATATAAAAAGCCTTCGTTGTTGTTTGATCCCGTGAAGTGACGGCTAAATCACTAAAGGTTTGCTCCACCACACAACCCGTATTTTTACCATCAATCTTTTTAACCACCGTACTATCGTCCCCCGTAACAGTCAGCGGCTGTTCTTTCTATGTGAACACTGGTGTTTCTCAATGATTCGTACTTTCGCCAAAACTTGTTCTCCTGTTTGGTTATGTTAAACTTACTTTCCAATGAGGCCACCCTGACTTCGGTTCTTGCCACTCAGATGTTGTAGACATTACCTGTGACTACGTATTTCGTAGCATCTTCCTAATCGTTGGCTTGTTGGCGCTTGAATGTCGCACAAGTCTGTTTTCAATGACAATGTAGCCAATTTTATGATCACTCCGCATACAAGTTTAGCTTTCTTCTGTCCTCAAAGTTGTATCCTAATAAGTAATAAAGCTAAGCATCTTCTTAATGAAAAAGGTACCTAAATGAGATTGTCTCCATTGAAAGTGCGTGAGTAGGAACTTACTTATAAACTCTCGACCGTCGTATGAATCTCTGTGTGTAAACTGTGCACCTTCTTTGTAGAAGTCTGAGCCATTATTGTATCCACAGCAATGAAGCTAAAGTTAAAATAAATCGGAAATCACAGAAATATTAGGAACAATTTAGCCCTGATCTCAAAAGACTAATTATTTTCTGAGATGGAGTAACATGCTGAATTGAAACGTGGAACAGGGATTAATGAGTGATGCGCATAGAATAACTCAGTTTGAATAGAATTGTTTCATGCACCAGATTCATTCACTACTCGTGGAATAAAAATTCTGCAAACAGTAATGAGAAGCATTCAAGAATATTGTTATCGATAATTACTAGAAACGTTGAAAAACTATTATGATTTCTCTGAATATACGCTGTTATACGCGGGGTAGAATCGGGTCAACGTGAGTCGCCGCTTACCGATTTAACTTTATACTTACTGCCTTTTGAACTACAGTTTGAAAGCGCTGCTACCAAAACTCTAAAACATGGCTTGAGCACCCAATTTGAAATCGCATGAGATAATTTTTCCGTCAGTTGATTGTGTTGTAGGTATATTATAACAGTTGATTAATGAAAACAGTAAAACGGTCAGCCGAACGTTAACAGAAAAATATTGTAGGATAAATCAAATACAGTCTGCCATCGCCGAAGTAATTTTGAAGTGAAGGTGAACTGGGGCAAACTGCGGCAATTTGATCGGAGGTCATATATAGCTGAGGGTCATGCGTATTGCCCTTAATTCTGATATGCGTAGTATCTGAACGCCTGTTCTTTAAGTTAACTGCTTACTGAGCAGGTCATGGTACACTGCATCATTAAAAGGGAAGCTAAACACCCAAATAACCCCACTCAGTACGCGGAACAACAATTAGTTGACTCGAATAAACAAAAATACTTTCAACACAAATGTTGACGAAACTCAAACGTGATTTGCTCTCCTCACTACGCTCTGAACTGCCACGCGTATTAGGATTTCAACTTCATGATTATCAGTTTGCCCATCAATCCCTTCTAGAAATGTGACAGTTTTAGGCCAAACTTTTATTCATTGCAAAGCAATCATACTGTTTATTGTTTTGTCAAATAATTGTAATGATAAAAGTGAAAACTCTTCTTCAATGAAATCGGACAAAATGAGGTGGTAGTTCTTTTGACAACATCCACATTGATGGAATTCTAGTGGATATTACGAAAGCTACTACAAGTTTGGTCTGTATTTATTTCAAACGCATGAATAATTCGATAGTCATTTTAAGATAAAATCTAATATCATTTTGTCCAGAAATAGCAGTCCTTCGAATAAATTGAGCGGCCATTCCCCGTGGGACTTCCGTTAGTGTTTTTGTGTTTGATACAAACTGGATAAAAACAGTAGTAATTGTGGACATGATTATACAAGATCATGATCCATTTAAAGTGATTATAAATTCCACATATTCAAGAAATTGTGTTCACGAACGTGAAATTGCAAGTAGTACTTTGCCGAAAATTTTCAACTGCCAGAGGTTTGCGCGTCACAATAGAAGAATTTGTGGACATACCGTTGTCATCAAGGCACCCAGGAGTACGCTGTCTGGGTCTTTGCTCTCGAGAGATTTGTACAGCAGCGTTTGCTTCTCCAGGAGCCTTCGTACGTATCCTAACACCTGTGAGAATGAAGAATGGAGATTACGTTTTAGCCGATACGCAAGCGTAAGCAGAAGGTATTCAAAAATAAGTATTAAGCATTTCTTCAATTCGATTTCGTTTTAGGTATACCACAAAGAAACACCACAAATTCAATTCCTCTTGTTGTGTTCAATATTGATAGAACACAGAAATTATTTGTGAAAATCGAATGTTCACGTACATTTTTTCTGTGCATTATTTTTCATAATTCTGCTTCATTTGTCTCCATTACGTATATCAGATATGTACATTATTGCTTGGGAAGGCAGTGAGCGTTTTACGTAAATAATTCAAATATACCTCATGCATACGCCGTATTTTTGATTCTATGATGTAGGCATCCACGTTAGACTACGTAATATTTTCCAATGTGTTCATCCCCTAATAGATGGATTTAAGTGACGACCATTTGTGAGTAAACTTCATTAAATGTTGCCTATGTTTTTTTGGGCAAAAAATTATGCTCGCAAGACATCTAGCTTCCCATGTCATAGTCTGTCTGTATCAACCTGCTCCACTAAATGTTTATCTAAATTAGGTGGACCCAGAAAACATGTCGTTCTGTACTGGTTGGGCTGAGCTATTTTCCACGAAAAATTTTAAATTCGTGTAATACAACTCGTAATAATTCTGCCCAATACCCGTGTATTTGCTTAAGGTCAGCATTTGAGCAGTATGCAGAACATATTCTGCTAGCCGAATATTACAGCTCAGTTACTCCTATTTCAATTTTTCGAACAAATCTACCATTGTTTCTATGCTTAAAACTGTTAGTTGTCCCAATTAATAGAGAGTGGCTTCAGAGGTACAGCAACAATACTTACCACATCCTTCTTCAAAAAGTAAATGATCAGGAAAATAGTGTGCGCGATGATCAAAACGCCCAGAAGTATTGCGTACTGAAAAAGAGTGTCAGGATAAATTACGGTATTTGAGACTGTGCACTAGACTGCAAAATGTGACACAATTTTATTTGATAGAGCAGTATGGTTGCCTGGTGAGGGATAAACCGAAATGAGTTGTCATCATTTTCATTCTCAATTATTATTGCATTTTTATGTTCTTGTGTTTGTTTGACACTTTTTAACTTTGCCAGTTTTGAGTGGCTGAACATATCTCAATTATTTAATAGTCATACATACTGAGAACAGCATAATCTGGTGAACCAACTCGTTTTAAGTCATTATCGATCATGCCAATACAGACAAATAAATATTACTGAAACCAAGAACAAAAGTGACTCTTGTCGAATGTTTGGGATTTAGCTTCACACGTATGTGCGTGTCCGCGTGATTTTGATCACAGTGTCGGAAGTTCAAATGGTTGCACAAGTTGTGAGATGAATGGAATAGGCCAGAGAGGGTCTAGTGCTTGCACGATATTAATAAGGTGACAACGAAAGACCAAAGGAAATGGAAATACTAAGGAATTCAGTTTATGTGCATCTGCCGTTCATGGGATTAAGGCGACAGAAATTATTCAAAGAAACCTCCCAGATGTAGTAAGCAGAACATTCTACATTGCCCAACTAAATGCGGTAATAATATATAAACGAAACATTTGCCATTGATGGACGGAGTTACAGATTCAACAAACTAATCCTGTATGTTCACCTGTCCTAGTGGGACTTGGTGCAATGGATACACAACCAAAGGCTTCTGCGATCGTGTCCGTGAACAGTACCCAGATAGCCACTGTCGAAGCCGTACGAATTCGCATTCGCAATGCCCCTTCGTGCCCAAAAGAAATCTGTCCAAACACATAGACTTCCTTGACCCACTTCATTCATCCGAACATGTGTGCAACTCTTTCAAATCTTGACACATTGGCCAATTGCATACAAACATCCGCATACACCTTCGGATGCATATCTGAACGGTCAGGACTTCAACTTCTCAACCTCTTCATTTTGGTAGTAATCGAGGTTATGTTTCGGCTTGGTTACGATCACTGAAAACGAGCTTGTTTACCACAATATGCATATCTCAATTAATTAGAATTTTTCGATAAGAACACGACTGTATTCCGTGAAAAAAAACCGGAGGAATTATCAAGTGCCTATTTTGTTCATAGTTTCTAATTTCCTTTCAGGGTGAATGTTAGCTATGAATACATAATTTACAGAGTTCAATCTAAGTGCCATATTACGGTTTGCTGGCGCTAGTTCTTGCCTAACCATAAATTCTTAATTAGCTCTTGCAAAAAGTAATTGACCTTGCCAGTTGTTTCAATGATACTTACGATGATTAGGAATATGCTCAAATTGCAACACACACCGACGAATGCCAGTATGGCGAACACGAATAGCACAATACCAATACCGAAAAGTGCTGCTCCAATTGGATCTAAAATAGGCGAAACATTCTGTTTTAGTAATTTTAGAGCAATGAAAATAGCTGTGGATATTATGAACACAATATGATATACTTTGACAGATTACCATACTGAGGGACTTAGTAGGAAGCAGCTGTCGATCGATCAAAAACCACTATAATGAAATAATTCATAAAAAGATAAAAGATCATCTTAGATTAAATACATCTGCTTTTACCATGTTCTACCGTTCAATGAGCCTGACACAACCGGGAAGGAAATAGCCTTATTCAAACAAAGCAGATCGTATACAGATTGTGTTGCCATAATTTTCGTGTTTTTGTCTGAATTATGTACACGATGCGTGTTGCCATGGTGCTAACTGTTCGAAAATACTTTGTGTACATATTTAGGAAAAATGATCTGTTAATATGGCTTGTTTTATTGATGCGCCGAATACTTCATACATTGCATTGTATTCCTTGTCATTTCTATGGTACAAGAGAGTGATAGAAATAACCAACGGGAATTCTAAAGAGCGATTTGGTTTAGAATGATTCAACCAAATGGGGTTGAGTAGGCCATTACTTGAACCCTGTCGGCCAAATCCATAAGTATGGAAGCTGTAACACGGAATACGTTGAAGGATTCATTGTTTTATCAACCCAAGGTGAGCAGGCCTTCGCCTGCATTGTGGCCAAGATGTAGTTTTAATTCGGTTTCTGTCGGTAATTCGCACCAAAAGCAATCGAAAGCAAAGGATACACCTTGTGATTAGACTGTGCCAACTGTGAAGCACGGATACGTGCATTCAGGTGAGTCACTCCGGCACAGATTACGAATTCTTTGACAATGCAGGTATGGTCATGGAAACAAAAAAGGGGCACTGGTGACTTCATCTTCCAGTGAAAACAACAGTGGTTTGAATATAGACAGCACTGAGTTATATCATTGGAATGGAATTTATATTCTACCAACTTCGTCAATTTCCGTGTAAAAGTATCCACAATTTTTGACTCAGTAAAAGGAAGATACTTCTTGGCAAACGTTGTCGCGAAGACTGCTTCTTCGCTAATGGAACATGAATGCCAGAAAACCGAAAATTCCAAATCCCATTAATTTCGCGGACTCAAATGGGCACAGATTAAAGGAAACACAAGGTCTGACCGTTTCTTGGGCACAGAGGCCGTATGCCATCATTTTTTGTGAGTTGTGCGAAACGAACTTGATATGTTCAGATTTTTTCCTGCACGTAAATATTACACGATAACGTCAACAACACCATTTGCCATGATATGTGAAAAAGATAAAAACAGTTGGAAAACATCATTACGTGATAATTTCATGATCTCCTCTATAGCATTGTTCACCGTTTCCTGATCTAGTTCGCTAAATTTTGACGATAATGACTCCATCAGACGGTCCATTATTTTTCTCAGTAATGGCTTTGACCAGAGCATGATTCCACCGATCGCGGCGAATGCCAAACTCAATACCTTGAGGGGGAAAACAGCAGAAGAATGTAGGAAGGAGAAAATAAGCGTTTTATATGATAGGTCATCTGAAAGTACAAATGAAGTTAAAATATTTCATTCAATTCCGTGGAAAGATAACCAATGAGTTGTTGAGGTAGATAAAATAAGAGTAGCCGGTTTCCTCGAAGCCCCGGTGAATGTTGTTTTCACCTGTTTTTGAAACCTTTGCGGTTGACCGGGTAGAAGAGATCACATTCTTTTTCCAGGAAATACAACGTGGGCGAATTCCAGCAGAACCGCTACAACAACATTCAGCCTTGTGATTTTCACGTGATAAAGCAGAGACTAGCAGTTAAATCCCAAGTGAATGGCCAAGCAGCATCCGGTACATAACTTGTACAAATCCCCAATAAAATTCAGAAACTGTCAGGTGAGTAAATTCCTTGATTTTAGGGATTTCCCAATAAGTGGTGCATGGTGAATTGATGAGAACCGGACTTAAAACAATCGATGTGAAAAGCGATCGAGAGCAAATATCTATAGGATACGTTAATAGAATAAAAAGGAAATCACTCACTCTAGGTGCCAGCTACAGTTTGTCCAATGAAGGCAGCTAAAATAAGCTCAAAATGTCCCAAAAGCAGCCTTGTTTTCCAACAGAACGGAGAAGAAGTATCATTAAGACTGATCAGGACACAAACAATAACAGCCAAAGCTATCCGCGTTCCTCAATAATTAAAACGAGAGATCTCTTTGAACAAGCCCGAAACCAACGCAATCATCCTTTACGAAACTAGCACACCTAACTTAATTATGGCAGATATCGTCTTCCAAGTAAAAAGATTTTTGGGTTTAAATCTTTTTCACTCTACTCCGTACAGTACAAAAGCACATTTTTAGTGAAACCTAATCATCACGATAAAGTCAAAATGTAAAAGAAATGTAAATTTACATTATATAGATTTTTCTCCTACCGTAAAACCATATGATCCATAGCACGACTCCATAGAAGGTGAACAAACATCTAGGTTTTGTTAATCACATGTGAGACCCAACAACTTAGTAAACAGGTTTCCTGGAAGAACAGCAGTATGATTAAGAAGCTTGCTTTCAGTGCTTGATATACAGGCCAAGTAAATCGTTCTCTCCCTGATCAACCAGTAGTTAAAGCATCGAAGTAAGCTTGTTCAACACATTGCTATTCTTCCCACTAACTGACTGAATTTATTTACTCATTTTGAAAAGAAAATCGACCTTGGTGACAAAATTATCTATGCACATGTGATTTCGTACTCCACTGGTTAGAGCTAATGTAGAAATCCTCAATTTCGTTGACTGCGGACTCTGTTGCAAACGCTGTAAACGTTCAGTTAAGGCTTTCTATCAACTTACGTTGAACCAACATCATTCGTGTGTAACTCGTGAGAATTAGAGCGGAGATTGAAAATATGCGCAGAAGCGCTACGTTGAGAATCTACAACCCTGCAAGGGTAAAATAAATTTCCGTTGCCAACTTCTTATTAGTGATCTGAATCGACTTGGGTGAAACCACATTAATACGAATGTAGCCGAGCTCAGCGTTTTCTTGTCCACCCTGTGGTTTAACTCTACTCTGTACAGAAAGTTAGTCTGAGGCCTATCCAGTCAACTGATGGGTTTGGGATCGACGTCACGCGATGGAAAGCGTGTTTTCTCCAAGAGGTACTCTGGTGCCTTGCGTGAACTAAAAAGGAGAAGTCTGAAAGTGGCAAAGGCAGATCTGTTTTATCAGTACTTCTCATCAGGCCAATACATCACACAATCGAACATATATAGACACAACACAGCGTGATAACCAATAGTGTAAGTACCTATAGAGTAATTGTGATGACTGATGTCAAGGCCTGTGTCTGGTGGACCATTCAAGGATGAGTCAAACTGGTGTGTCTGTTTCAAGATCTGACTGGGCAGCAGTAGAGTCTTGACAAACTGTTTTTGCGAACGCAGTATTGGTTAGTTTAGCCTGATTGCAGTCGCTTCGGCTGTGCACAGAATTCTTTGTTTCACCCCTTTCGATGGGTTATGTGCTATCCGGTAGTTGACCTTGAAGGCCCCCTTACGTGTCAGTTCGTGACCCGTGTCAAGTGCGCGGGCTAGGATGGCACCAGTCGCAATTTTATTGATCCCTTTTGATAGCCAAGCTGGACAGTGCTCTTGAATCCTCTCTGACAATCGCCTAATGGTCCTTTCTACGTATTATGCTCCACAGGAACAGGAATAAAGGTTCACACAAAATGAAGTAGACTGACTAGGCAACTTGTCTTGTCCTCAACATCAATCATCACAATGCATGTTCGATGGTGTGTGCTGTATTGGCCTAATGAGAAGTACCGAAAAAACAGATCTGTCTCTGCCACTTTCAGACGTCTCTGACAGAACAATTGGTACCTTTTGTGAACTAAAACGGAATCAGGAGTTTATGTTATTAAGGTCAGAAAAATGTTCCAGCCTCTGAACAATCGAATGAGCTAATCCAGGCTTAATACTGTAAATGTTCCAGTAGAGTTTTCATGAATTCAAACGATTGCGTGGATAAAATGAAAGCTCATGTTCTAGATAAGATGCAGAGGCTATTGAGGAATTCACCGCAACAACGATCAAACAACTAAAGCAAGACGTAACCCCTGATTGTTCCACAAGTGATAGAGTTCACTAAGGTGAAAGAAACATTCGTGATCACATTGTTCCTACACCTTAATTTGGAAGATATGCGATTCACCTTATCATACAGTGTTTAAATTAATTTAGAGGGTAAGGGAAAAATCGGAAAAACACTCCATGCAGGATTCATTTAAGTTTATGTACCTGAAAAATCACGGGAACTAGCAAACACATTTACCTTTGATGTTCTATTTCTATTTACAAATCGCCCCTTAAGAACAATTGATTACTTGTGTCACTGGATCGAGTTCGACCAACGTCTTAAGGAAATTCACGCGACAATGCATATTTCACGTCCTATTATACTTCAGTGGCTGCGCAAAACGTCAGGAAGGTTGTGTAGCTATATTCCCACTATGAAGATCCTTACTGACTGACAACTTTATGTGAGAATATGAAAGGTAGTTGTCCATTTGTATTGCACAGCATGCCCCAAAATGGCGCTATATTGATTAAGGTATTTTTGTTACGGACAACTCTCAGACTTTCATGGCTACTGAATAAACCTAATCCTGCCCTTATTATTATCAGTTTCGTGCTAGCAGATGCGGACTTGGTCAGGGCATCAGGTTTTTGAATGGCTGTCCTTAAATTAACATAGAAAGAAACCGTTGACAAAACTGTTTATCACCATCGTAGAGCATGAAAAAGGCTTTTTTCTCTGCATCACCAATCGCTGTTAGACGAAACACTGACACCAAACTTATTCACATCATCGTTTTTTCAAGCTAATATATCGTTATTATTTACTCATTTGAGGGAATAGACCTGAATAAAGTAAGTATAGGGAATTAACTGAACAATTTACTTTACGGAATACTGACCATTGCACGATGTTTACCAGAATGCCAGAATGTAATCCTGTACATTCCAACCGATTCGAAGAAATTTATTGTTCTGTACGGTTTTCAGTTTCTCTCGCAAAACCACACTCACAGTCGGCCGAAGGTTGAACGTAGAGCTGAATAATGATGGTCAGCCAACACCAATCACAACTCGTCGAAAAGCCCCGCTAGGAAGAACTAATGAGTTAAAATAATACTCCCAAAACAGCCATAGTATTTATCAAATATTTATCGGAAGAACACCTAGTCAGATTAAATCGTATCATAATTTTCAACAATCTGTAGATTAGAAGTAAAACTATTCTTTATCATAAAGATTACTGTACCATGATTTGCTTGACACACAGTCTGAATTCAAACGTGTGTTAACTAAAATGTTTCTATATTGTTCCTTTGATATTCATTTAGAGTAAGTCACTAACATTATCAACGTGTACGCAACACAATATCTGACCCTTAAGTATGTAAAACACTACGAAAATATGCATTGCACATGCTATTCAACGCGCTATCCCAAGAAAGCTTGTAATGCAAACCAATGAAACCCTTCTATGCTGAAAAGGAAACAAATCCAGATGCTTAGGACACTTACCATCACCACGATATTCACCACAATCAATACACATCCCATCAACGATCGACACATGGTTAGGGATGGGTCTTGTCTGTAAGAAGGATAACAAAAAAAGTTGCTTTTTCAGTGCATCATTGATGAACCAAGTTCAATGACGATCTCTATTTCAATACAAAACATTGCTAGTCACGTAACTTCCATGCCTAACCAAGGAGAAGTTACCGCAACACTGCATTAAGGAAGATGCACACTACCGTTGTGTTTTGTTTATGAGATTATTTAGGTTTTTGCGAGTATTTGCTAAATGATATATTTAAAACAGATAGACAACCGCTTGTACATATATAGTTAAGATGGATTCCAGAATCTGTGAAATATAGGAGTACAGGTAGAAAATGAAATGCATCGAAATTTCAACCAGCTTTACGGCTTTCAATGAATATAGAAAACAGTTTCTGATCGACTGATTGACTCATTTTCCGTAATTACTCGTAAAAATTGTCAGAAAATTTATGTTAGTCGGAGCAGATACCCTTAGCACAAACATTTAGCCACATTTTTCTCAGATTGTCCGAAGACATTTGACTGAGGTTTGTCAGAGTAAAATAAAAGCGTGAGAGCTGTAGTAGATGAATATTTGGCTTACAAAAGATGTACTTGTGTTTCTCTTGACAATCTAAGTTTGTTTGTTATCGATTCTATGCTAAAACTGTAGCCACTTTACCCTTAGAAGTGCATTATGTTGTTTTGGAAAAATGTCACCTAAACTCTTCGATAACACTAATATACGTGTAATGGACATCATGGTTAATAAAAAGCTACAGTAAAAATATTTACGTAAGGGATTTGTACGAAACAGTTTGATAACTGGAAACGGAAATGAACTTGCTTGCACAACAATAATCCAATAATTGTCTAGTCGTCTCGCCGGGTTTCGTATTTATTTAATTTTGGAAGCATAGGTGATGCGTTTTATGTGGGTGTTTCTTTCACCCGTCAGTAAAGACTTGCTCTGGCATGTGCGTGTGTGCGGCTGTGTTGCGAAACCCTCTCCATGGAAACTGCCTCAACATCAAGATAATGTCTCGAGTAGAGGCATATGCATTCTATTGATTGGAGAACTTCCAGCTGCGTCTGAAATCTGTAGAGTGAAGTGCTCAATTTCACTACTTCCTAGTTTCAGAAACTCCGGCATGATTGGATAAACCTGAGGTACTCCTCTAAAGTAAACTAAAAACAGTATGGAGATTCCGCATCCCAATAAAACATGCTCATGAAGCATGAACGATTTCTATCGTTCAACGGAGAAAATCGGTCGACAATAATTTTTCTTCGTCGACAGTCTCCTCGGCATTCTTACGAGAAACATTGCGTTTTCTTTTGAATACAAACAATGATATTGATGGTACATTTCATGAGGCAAACTACTGCTGCATACTTAAAGTATATTTCTCATTCTTTCGTTATTCAAACATCGGGCCTTCTTAGATGCATAATTCCGGTTGAAGTTCCATGAATCCAAGCAATGGCTATCCAGAAGTAGAATTCGCATAAATAAAGCAACAGGAACCAATGGGTTGTACCAGAGCCAATGGAGAGAAAGTTTAAGGTACAGTAAATCATCGACTTAGGACATATGCGCGAAGAGTCATGTGCCTGAGGTAGAATCCGATGCTGAAAAGTACGTGAGTCAACCTAAATCAGTTTGCATCGAACTGAGTGGTGGTCTATGACTTACCTCAAATGGGTTCCTTATGCTCGAAGGTAACAGCAAGCGACTGATTTCATAAGCCGCTGTCGAGAGTGAAAAATTTACTTGATCGAGACATTACTTCAAACCGATAGAATAAAGAAGATCATAGTAAAGGCAGAAAACAACGGGTAAAATATGTATACAAATCCAGTCGTTTCACTGAAGAAGAATCTATGGATGAATGCTTAGGGCATGTGAATTAAAGGAAAGTTGTGACGATTCAGTAAAACCTCAAAAAGTATTTGCTTTAACTAACTAAAATCGCAGTCGAAAACTGGGCTAAGAATTTCCTAAGATATCTCCTGAGTTGAAACATATTCCTATAGAGACATCTTAGAATACACTTCTGGTGTATGTAGAAGAACTCACAAGAAGATTAAGAGTGCGCAATAGACTCGCTTGACAGCAGAGTTCAACCGCTTGTTAACGAGTTCACTCACGTCATCGCCTTTGTATGCTAACATCAAAAACGTTTTCTTTTGCGGGACAGTTATTGAGTTGTCTATTTTTGGTGTTACTTTACTATGCTTGGTGAT